GACGCGCAGCTGGAAACACTTCCCGCAAGACGAGCTGCCCGAGATTCACAGAATTTACAGAAAATGTTACATTTTTGTGATTTATATCGTTATCGGGACGATAGAATTCTTATATCGGGACGATAGAATTCTTATATCGGGATATGAGATTTTAGGTCATATCGCACTTCAAATCCTAGTGACTTGATGACTAGCCAAAATAAACGAAGCAAAAAGACCACAAGATGGCAATGACAGCTTCAGAAAAAAACAAAAGGATCTCCCAGATGTGACAACTTTCATGTAAACCTGACATTTATATGACAGTCATTTCTTAAAAAAATAGAAAAAGAGGTCAAGTGTCTTACAAAGTCAAAATAACACAAAAGTATACTGGTGCACACTATTCATGTATCAGGTGCAGCTTGCAAGCCATTTCTCAGGAAGTTTGGCACTTGGGAAAACTCTTCAACATTTATTGAATACATACCCATTACACACATGGCTAGTGACACTGCAGAAGCAGGAGCAAGTCATCTGTGTCCCCCCCTTAGATTGCCTCTAGTCCACAGGTTTCACATCTGATGCTACTACACAAAATAGAATATCCACCCAATTGCAGGACCACCATACTGGGAATTGCCTTTTGCCACAGAAAACATAAACTAAAGATCTGCTTCATTTCACATCTGTCTGTCCCATCCCGTCAACCATGTGACCCTGCTCAACATGACATCGCTAAACTCTGAGATTCCATTACAGTGCAGTTGGCCTCCTGCACGCTGTCCCACTCTAAAATTCATGAACACCGCTTTCTGTTTTTTTTTTTATGTCTAGAATATTCACTAACCATGTGTTTTTGTTTCCTGGGGAAACGTGTGTATGTATGTGTGTGCGCGCACCCAAGCTGTGGGTGCCTCATTCTCATTCATATGCATCAGCAAGTTATCAGGGACTGTTGTGCCTCATTGAGCTGAGAAGCTGCTTTCCATTTATTTCTCAAATGCAGTGGAGAGTGATTCTTCTCCTGCCTAATAAAACTTAGAAAACTGGCTATACTGCTTTCAAAACTTCTACTAACAAAAAAAAAGCGAGGCTCATTGGGCAATTATGAAACAGGATAATGAAATATGGAGAGTATGTGCCGTGCAGTGCAAAAGGTGAAATTCATTACCCAGCCACATTTGGAGCAGCTAGCTGCTACAGTAGATAGTGGTGGCTCACCGGGGAAGTTTTGAGACCTATTGTAGGTGGATCTTTGGTTTTGATCGCAATCCCATTGCAAAAACAGCTTTTGTTGAAAGCCAATGCAGGCTGTTCCCGCAAAACATCTTTAACTCTACACTGCATTCCTCGTCTCATCAACATCTGCCATCCTGCTAATTAGGCCCAAAAAGCCACACATCACTGGGTTTTAGTGGTGCACAGACAATGTGTGACACTCACGAGGGGAGCTCATGGACACAATGGGAATTTCAAAACCCTGCTAGATCACAGAGCGAATCGGAGTTTGTTACTGTCGGCAAGATAGCCTGAGCACCCACACGGTGGAAAATACACGCTGTAAGAATCTGCCTGACTATAGCTTTTGAGTATAGCTGCATGAGCCTTGGGTCTACATGCTAAATGCATAAAGCAGTCTGCTGTTCGGTCTACAGGTTTTGTCTTCGATGACAAAAGTGCCGTCACTGGGAGGTTAACTGGAGTGGAATCCCACAGAGATCAGCTGGAGCAAAGGTTAAAAGAAATGCAATCAAAGAAGACGAGCAATCAGAGGACTCAAACAGAGCAGTCAAAGACAGAAAGCTGGACAAGCGTTAATCGGTCTGAGTATAAAAATAAATGTGAGGCTGGAAAGTTAGAAAAAGAACAAGGCCACAAGAAGATTGCTGTGTCTTAACCCTGACCCAAGAAAGCTGATTCAATAAACAAAGAATCTCAGCTCTGTGAGATAGCTTTGCAGGCCAGCCGACAAAGGTGAAGATATTTTCATGCAGAACACCTACAGCCGTGAGAATAGAAGAAAGGGGAAACGGAGGGAGTGCGAGTGAGAGTCATAAATCTCCCACAGCTAGCAGGGTCAGGCAGACGGAGAGAGTGTCAAAATTGTTTCTGGACGTGAAGGAAAGGGGAGAAAGGTGGCTAACCAACCCCTGCGACTGTCTCCTGCTCTTCAAATCAACCTGCCACAAGGCTGGTCAGTCACGCTGTGACACCAGCAAGCCATTTCTACCTCATTTGCATACACACACTCACATACTCTGCATAATAATAGTACCGTAGCATAGCAAGTGTGTGTGTCTGCATACAATTCTAGCTGTGTGTGCGCATTTCTGAACAACAGAAACACAACCAGAAGACAAAAACAACAACACAAGCTGTGAGAATGATGGGGAAAAAGACATGTAGCAAGGGCGAAAGCTAGACAGACAACATGTAAGAAAGACGATTAGATTGCTGGTGGCGAGAGCGGTGAGTACAGCTTTTTGCTGTCACAACATACTTTTCCTGACTGTAAAAACATTGTTTGCCATTCTCGCAGGGAAAGCTCTGCTACTATAGGAGACTTGCCTCACTGTCCATCATCTTCTACTTTTGGTACCCATCCTGCTGTACACCGTGCTTATTTGTTCAGAGAGGACATGTTTGAACGTGTGCATAGAAGTGTGCTTGCAATGCAGTGAAAAGAGATGGTTTCAGTGTTTCTCACTGGTGAAGGAACTATACACTTCCCTTCTATTCCTTCTTTTTTCCCTCCCGTGTCAAGGATGCTTCACCCGCTCCTGCTCCCTTCCTCGATTTCCTTTTCACCCTGCATCATTAACACCTTCTCTATATTCCCATCTCAGTCTTTATCCTCCTTACTCTACATCCTTTCTGCCTTGCCTCCCACAGCGGTGGTCAGAAAGCAGCTGCTGATGTTGCAGCTCACACCTGACCCAGCTCAGTATATCAGTGGGTGGACAGACATGCCAGAGAGCTCCTGTCAATGGCAACTGTGCCCTGGAGACTGCCCCACTTGGCGGATACTGAGCCCCTTCTGCTAGACTACTAGAAAGGGGAGTCAATACTATTTCTGAACAAGTGGTGCAGAGAGAGAGGGACGCAAAAAGCCAAGATAAGCACCAAGGCAGCACTATTTTTACGATCCTTCTGTGGCGAGGCAGGCACTGCAGTGGCTTCCTACTCATCCTTCGGGGTCCCTCGACAGTTCTGTTTGCTAATATTAAACAGGCCATTAGTGTGTGCAACTTCCTCTGCTGCTGATCTTGAAGCTTGCAGCCCACCTTTAGTGTAGCACCCTTTTCTGACCATTAAAGCAGCTCAGAATCTCGCTGACAATGTCCATCCTCTTAGTTTGGCAGCATCTCGGGGCGCATATAAGCCCAAATCTACAGGCAGTGGTTAACCAACGCTGGTTTACCTCCCCCGCTTCTTCTCACCCCGTCGCTTCACAAGGGTAAAGAGAGACATTTCACGTCTAATTAATGCACGGGATGGTTGTATAAAATGGCTAATGAGGCTGTGATCACAGCGGCGTGAAGGCAGGCACTACTGCTGGGGAGGGGGATGAGCATGACTCCACTTCCAGGAGACACATTGCTTCATAGTTATTAGCCTGTCATAGGAAGAGGGCTAATGGGGAGAATGGAGGTGCTTGTTTATGTGTTTGGCTCCACCTCAGTCAGTGTGTGTCCTCCGCCTCTTTGCCTGTTTCCTGACAAAACGCTCAAACAGTTGCTTAAAAAAAAACTTTATGCTGTTTCATCAGCTGTGTCAGCCTTAAAAAAAAAGAAAGAAAAGAGCACCATTAAGGGAACTGATATAAATGTGCAGTCAGATGAGCAACATTTGCTCGAACGTAGGCGCTGTTACCTGTGAGAGCAAGACTATCACACTCAAGTGATCCACAAGAAATATAAACAGAACGACTGCTGGTACAGAAGTGTCTAATGAAAACTTTTCATAAAATACCACAAAAAAACCCCTTCGGCAAGTCTCGCTGAACATTATGAAAGAAAGAAATTGGAACCAACACGTCATGTAGTAGAAACCAGGTGCTGCTATTCTATTAAAAAACTTGCTCCCTCAGCACGGCTCTTCAAGCAGGATGAATGGACTGCACACTAGCTACTCTCTGAGAGACTGCTCATTACTCAAATCACATCTGCTAGTGAGTTAGAAGCCCCTCTCTTCATTATGCTGCCTTACTTTCATAGTGCAAATATATTCATACGTGAAATGCCCTGAACGAGGGTCCGGACTTGAACTGCTCTCTTCAAAACATGCACAGTGAATCATCCACACACACACACACACAGACAATATTCGATACCAAAGTCGGTCATGCCTCACCTGTGCGATCTCATACAGGAGCTTGTAGTGTTCCTCTCGCTTCTGTAAAGTGCACAGATTGCAGCCCATTATAGTTGTCGTGGAAACGCCAGGCGTCCAATTCTCCCCAAGTAGTGGTGGTACGGACACAGGGGGGTCACCCTCCACACCGGAGCGCTGGTTCTCATCAGTCACTCCTTAGCGAGCATCTCTTTTCAGGCATCCCATTCACACATTCAGGCAGTCACAAGCAACCCCAGCTTAGAGGAACAGAAAGCTCCAGCTGAGCCTGACAGAAGAAGGTTCAGATGTGAACAGCGGCAGTGAAGTAGCGGCGGCCGTTTCAGCATCAGCCGGAGTGTCTCCTCTATCCCGCTCCCTCTATTTCAGACTCATACACTCACACGCGCACACACAGGCGTGCGTTCAGGCTCATACACCAGGGTTGTGACTCGCGCTCACTGAGACACTCCCCCCTTTTTCTTCCTCCGTTTCGGCGCACATGAGCACACCGATACCAGCTCATGAATAATGAGGGGAAGACGCTGTGATATTCATGAGAACAGCGGCAGGAAGGGAGGGGACTGACAAAGAGGGAGGAGTGTGCTGGAGCGGGAGCGCTGGTTCATTAAAACTGAGGCACAGTTACACAATGCGCTCCTTTGTGCGAACAGCTCCTGTGAGAAGCTTGGGCAGGGCTGACTGCACCGAGACCGCACAGCACGGGCAAGCGGAGGGTTTCTGAGGCTCATGTGTGACCTACCTGCATGTAAGGCTTTTCACTGGGTTTATCTGCTGCGCAAGAGGAGGATGTGTTGCACTTCTGTCGGAAATAAGGAATTACACTGGCTGAGGAGAAGTAAAGCAGTAAATGCTGTTTCAACACATGGTTTAGTTCATTTACTAATAAAAAATCATTTAGAGCTTGTCTGTTTAATACATATCACTAAATTATTTTGGTTTTGGACCTTTGGTAACACGTTTTAAGAGTTTTGAAAACCCCTTAATTTTTACGATAATGTTTCATTTTCTCTGATTTTGCTGCTTTTCTCTGCGCCTTATGGGTTACTCAAAACAATAAGCCTTCTCTTTTTCTCCATATTTGTACTATACATTTATAGATCTATATTTCTCCAACTGTTTCTAGGAAATCGATAATAGTAGGTGCATAATGAAGAGTGCCAATCAGTTTAATGAACACAATATGACATATGGAGTATGCACATTTCCAACTTTGTCAAAGTTTAAAAAAAATGAGTTGAAGTAGGCATCACATATTTATAACTCCGGCACCACCGCTGTTGCTGATAATGGGTGTCCCCACAGCAAAACTGGCAGCAAGTAAAGCCACAGACCTCAGAGACGATATATCAATCACCGGCTTCCCTCAAATTGTGATAATTGCAAGACAATAAACCTTGGCTATTGTCTCACTAGCAGGAAGCTACACAAGAAATGAGCAATAACTTAACAAATTGGCCTCCGAGCCAACATTTCTGCAGAATAGAGTGAAGAGTAGATGAGTGCTCATCAGCTGGCTACTGGGCATCTAACCCCCCCAGGGAGGCCATAATCCGATTTTCTGGGCTTTAATTTTGCTTCACTGCCTGGAGGCAAGCCAAACAAAAATCACCATTGTGATTAATACCTTCCACCGTCTTTTCCTCTACCATCGTCTCCACCGCCGAACCGACCTCCCCGCCCGTCTCTCGTCACCCTGAAGAAGCCACGAGGAGCGGGTTTTCTGCAGTTGCCAGGCAATATCAAATCCATGAAGTGCTGTTCACTAAAGTGTCAATTTGACATCAAAGAGACTTGTTGCGAGGATGGGGAGCGGGGGATATAATACTACATTTGATGAACAGAGGACTATGGAGAAAGTGCGCATCAGAAAATCAGTCTCCTAAAATTGTAAACCAAGAAGCAAAGTTATGAAGTGCCGCTGAGCAAGAGGAACTGTCTTTTCGTTTTCCTGTGGTCAGATGGAAAATGTAAACCCATTAAGGATCCTGTGCAATATATCCACACTGCATAGGAATATAAATATTCCATAGACAATCTGCTGACAGTATCCAATATTGGTACATGTGAAGGAGTGTTTTCAGGGTTCGGCTGTGGATGACCATCACTCTGTGATGGTGCACTCAGTGACCCCTTTAGGTTAAGATGCTCATCAGTCACCCAAATGGTCTTTCTCATCATCTGTGAAATGAGACTGATACAGTAGCCTTTGCCTGCGGTCAAGCAGCACCTCTCGATGAGACGTGCAGATTGAGGAATGCTCTTTGAAGAGTGCATTAAGACTGATAAAAGCTCTTCCGAGCTACTTTATGGCCACGGCTTTTACAGTTTGATGGGGTGAATTTACCTGAGACTGCGCTTCCAACGCAACCCGAGGGCAGGATTTACACATTAAAGTTACATTTACTCAAACCATTTACTTGCTAACAGGGTGACGCTCAGTGGGTTTCAGTGTGTGTCCCTGAAAGCCTGTAGACGTTATGATTTATGTTAACAATATAAGAAACTTAATGAAATGTATTGTTTAACATTTATATGGGGAATAAAACATGCTACCGCATATAAAGTCTCCATTTCAAATTGATGAACGCCAATTCTGTGCCCTCTTTGTGTCACTTTGTCTTCGACTTCCCAACTGTCCTTTTCTCCTGTCCAGCTGTCGTTTATCATCCAGTCTGCCCTTTGCCTGCTCTCGTAGAAACAGGCTCTCAGTCGTGTTCATTCTCCTAGTTAATGGACCTCACATCACAGGGAGCGGAAAACCAATTTGTCCTGACTTTGATGGGTGCATTTTGAGATTTCTTTAACAGCATTTCAAACAAACTTGATACTCGAGCTCACCTTAAACCTGAAGTTATAACCTTCAGCCAAGTGTGTAATGCAGGTCTATGGTGTATCTGTAAACCCCTTGTGTCCCCAGACATGTCTGTCTAATGCTCACATGGGCTTCCTGTGTGTGTGTATCCTGTTCTGCATAAGTGCACACGTACAAGCCCACAAACACTAAAATGAGCAACAAAAACAAAGTGATGTGGATGCTCCTGGCGCGGAATGTGAAATCATAATCAGTACCCGCAAACTGTATTTGTATTGATTTTTTGTCTGGGGATAAGTACCAACCATCACACAGAGCACAAAAGTTGGATCAATTCAATATTCCACTTCATGTGGTTCAACAAGCTGACATGTGCTGCATCTAAATGACTTTCAAAAAGGCTAACACATCGAGTTTCTTTTACTTTCCATTCTACCTTGCAACACAGCTTTTGTTGCCACTCACTTCTATTTTGTGTAAAGCAGCTGGCCTCACCAGACACATCACGATATATTATCACACTATACGATATTATTGTGATTTTTCACAATATGCTGAGTATTGGAGTAACATATATCGTGATTTAGCACCTTATTTTTAAATTCATTTTAAACCACATCTGTTTTATCCAAAAAGATAAAATTCTCTCAAATAACTTATTTTTGCTGCAAAATGAGATTTCCAAGCATAGGAACCCTGTTACTAATATCTGTCACTACAAGACAATATCAGTCTACTATCAGTCTGTGATTGGGGTCAAGTTAGCAATTACAGGCAGCTTATTTCAAATAAAACAGCAATTAACTGTAATAAATCATTGAAAATTACATTACACAAATCATTGAGCACATCTGTATACACAGAAATTCACATTTAATAGAAATGTATCATCCATCCATTCTCTTCCTCTTATTCCATTCAGGGTGGTAGGGGGCGCGGGAGCCTATCCCAGCTACCATAGGCAGAGGGCACAGTAAACCCTGTAAAGTAAACACTCACACCAATGGGCAATTTAGAATCACCAATTAACTTAACCCCACTAGATGCATGACTTTGGACTGTGGGAGGAAGCAGAGATAGCCAGAGAGAACCAGTGCAGACACAGAGAGAACATACAAACATATAAAAGACAGAAAGGCCCAGGCTAGATGGTTGATTCAAACCCAGGACCTTCTTTCTGTGAGTCACTCTGAATCAGACTACAACTGTTCGCAGACAGGTTGCCTCCTTTCAGGCAACCTGTGCAATCGCCTTGCAATCATAAGCGGTTGTGAACGCACATCATGCTCTAGCTCTGGGCAACCATTTAGTCACCATGCATTGCAATCAGTTGCATAATGTGAAAAACTGATAAGAGTCACCACACATCCACCAATGGTTTTTAGCTGAACCAATTTAAAGTACGTTTGCTCAGCTAATGTTCTCTCAGGATGGCAGTGCATCAGATGAGGTCTCTTGTTCAAAGTATTCCCAGATTATTTTAAATTATCTAATAAAATATCACAATTTGGTGTCCTTACATCAACACAATATTGCCATGCAAAATGTCACAATACTATAACCAATTTTTCACCCACCCCATCTAGTTTGAACAGAAAGGTAGAGATCATCCGAAGCTAGCAAACACTATATTCTAGCAGTTGTATAAACTTACTCTAACCTTGACAGGAAACATGAAAGCATCCTAAATGAGTCAGAGCTTTAATGAGGAGGAGTTATTGCTGTGATTACTTGTCTGTGGCAACGTCTGTGAGGAATATCAAATGTCCCCATAGCGTTTAATACATAAACAGGTTTATTAGGCCAGCGCTGACACACCATCTGGGTGGAAATCTCTTTGGTGTGAGCAGTGAAGATTGAAATCCCGTTCACGTGAATGGAGAGCTGCGGGGACCTGAGAGTGGTTTGTGATTTGATGTGTGTCTCAGATCTGATCGCCCACCGCCACTGCAAAACAGCCGCTTCTCCTGGGTATTCATGCGACCTGATTTGGGAGTAATTAAATGAGAGTCTTTTATGAATGAATCATCGTCGTAGCCTGCTTTTCACATGACAGCTCTGAAAGGAATTGGTCCAGTGTGCACATACAAAAGGATAGGTGAGTGCTTCAAAAGAGGCGTAGCCACATCATGTGAAGCCAACCAGAACACTTCTCAATGACAATAAATTATTAAAAAGGCTTGAATCTTTAATTCATGTGGGAACACGACCGTGGCTAAAAATAGCACATCATAGACTCTTTTAAATGATAACATATGTAATGTTGCTTTGTAAGCAATCGGCGTATCGAAAAACTAATTTATTGGCTAAGAAGCAATTTAACCTCATATTACAGCCCACATAAAGCCTCTGTTATGATCAAACAATGAAATTATCTGTTATTAATTTGGAATAATAGCTACTGAACTGTGTCATTGCTATCATGGGCATCGCACAAAATCTTCTCACCTTTTTTTGGTCAACTTACAGCAGAGGTGTCAAACACAGGGCCAGGTAAATCGGGCTGGTAAATTGGGTAGCACCTTAAATTTGAAGGAGAGAATAAACTTTAACTTTTAACTGTAATTGTATAGATTTTACAACTTATCTCCTCCATGGTTATTCATTAGTAAGTAAGTCAACTAAGTAAGTAATTAAGTAGGACTCAACGAC